TTGCAAAATGTGGTTACTTAGGCCTTTTAAAAAGAGAGCATCAAAGAACAAGAGGATCAAAAAATGAGATAATGGTTTTTTAAAAGCTATCAATTCTTCTGAAAAAAAAACTTTCTTCAGAGTTCTAGTAGATTTCAGTCTTTTTCAACATCTCCTGCAAAAGCACAGGAGATTATGGATGAGTGCTGGGAATAAACACCCAATGAACTGCTACATTCAAGAAGCTAGAGTTATTGCATCGCCTTTCTCAATCAAATTTCCCAAACTCACTTTAAAAAAAAAAGGGAAACAAGAAGGCTTTTTGCATTTTCAGACTGACAGACCAACTGAGTTAAGAAAAAGCAAACCTCTTTTTATCTAGGAAGTGACAAACTACTTTCAAAAACTGAACCATTCCCAGTGAACCATTTACTACTTCCATCTGTTCATACTGTACAAAACAAATTTAAAAGTTACATCCACAAAATAAATGTATATAATGAACCCTGTATTTCATATGCATTTCAAAAGCACGTCCTGTATCTAAAATAGCACAAAAGGTCCCGGCAGAAGCAGATGATTACAATCTAAAGCACAAGTCATAAAGGCATAATTGGAAGGGGTCTCAAAAGCCATCTATTCCAGTTCTCAATCTTGCTTCTATTATTAATGGTTGAATAATCTTACTTCTTTGTAAGTGAGAACTCTTAAACAACTCACTACAGAAAAATGAGTTGTATCTAGGATGTATGTATGTATGTATGTATGTATGTATGTATGTATGTATGTATGTATGTATTTCTGCTTTTGCTTGAAAAATCCACAGCAGGGGTGTCCAATCTTACCAACTTTAAGACATGTGGACTTCAAGCCCTAGAATTCCCCAGCCAGAAATCTGGGAGTTGAAGTCCACAAGTCTTAAAGTTGCCAAGGTTGGACATCCCTGACTCAGACTTTAGACTACTAACTGAAAACCTACTGCTACCAGAAGTCTTGTTAATCCTGCCTCAAAACCACCCTTCTCCTAGCCCAGGAATGAGCAACCTGCTAGCAGCTACACACAATGGCCAGCCCCTCATGATGCAGGTGGACAGGATTTGGATTTGTGGATAAATTCTTGTAAAATTAAGGAAGGAGACAGTTGAAAGAAAGGGAATTTTTTAAGGAACATTTCCTTAAAATTATGACATTTTAACAGTGTTGTCCCTAGTGGTGAAAAGCTTCCAGAATTCAGCTAAAGATTTGACAACTTTAATGATTAATAATATGCGTGTATCATTGAATCCAGCATGTTCTCTCTGTTCTATAACCTGACTAGATAGAACATAGATGAATCTTCAAACAACAGAACTTATTATTCCACTTGTAGAAATTACCATTTTGAGAAGTGGACTACGCAATGAATATTAATTGCTCAGGTAATTTGAATTAAAAGAGGTCAGCAATCCAATATAACCAGCACTATTATGTAGAGTAATACATTTAGTATGCAGATAATATGGGATTCACTGAAGCAAATATGTCAAGTATGAATAAAAGCAAGAACCTAAATCAGTTATTCTCAACCTGCTGCCCTCCAGATATGCTGGGAGCTCAGTCAGCTCAGCCAAAAACTCTTTTGAGTTTCCTGATAGAGTAGACATGAAATTTGGTAGAGGGTTTATTTTCTTTCAAATCCAGATGGTTCATTTTTTCTGTGCTCTGCCTGGGTGCCTTGGAGATGTACTTAGTGACATTATGATGTCAGGTGGAGCCAATATGTATGAATTATTTGTTTTACTGTTAGAAAGATTAAATGCTACCCTCCCCCCACCCTCCCCATTAAGATACAACAAGTTGCAAGTAGATATGCCTGGGAAATCCTAATCCAGGGGTCTTCAAACTTGGCCCTTTCATGACTTGTGGACTTCAACTCCCAGAATTCCTCAGCCAGACATGCTGGTTGAGGAATTCTGGAAGTTGAAGTCCACAAGTCATAAAAGGGCCAAGCTTGAAGACCCCTGTCCTAACTGGTTCAATGTTATCAAGGAAACGTTGTGGTTGAGTTGAAATTTAATCTTTACTGACCCCGGCAGTTCAACATTGTAACCTAGGAAGAAGGAAAGACTTATAGCAAAGTGATAAGGGACAATATCTATCTTAATTAGTAAAGGAACAACACTCACTCATGAAAAAAAAAGATGGGGGGGACTTTCTCTATTTCAGTTTCTATAAGGCACAGGGAAGATTGTTCTTTCTACTACCGTATGCAGCTGGAGAAGGTGATGTAATTCACCAACGTTGTCATTTTTTGCACAATCACAGCTGGCAAAAGAGAAGGATCTGCTATGCTATGTTAACTTTTGACCCCATATCAGTAGCCAATGTGTAATTTAGAATTCAAAAATACCTGACCAATGTATTCGAGATTGGGAAAGACTGTTTTGCAGTATAGAGAAATATAATCATAATATCCCTCTAACTTCTACAAAGTAATGTTTTCCTTTAACTCTGGTGACTTTACAAGAAAATGCATATGTATTTCACTGCAAGTCAGACAACATCTCACTTATTCTTGCGCTTCCACAGTAGATTGTTGTTGTTTTTTGCTTTTGTTTTAGTTTTGTGTGTTGGGATAATTTTTGCAAATACTAGAGCAAGAAAGCTTACAGCTAAGTTAACAATACCTTGAAGTTTTCTAGTTGATACTTTCGACTAAAATGATAAATAATGCTACTTCTCTTTAACACTTACTGGCCCTTTCAAACACAGGCAGACTGAGATAGGAGATGAACAGAAGACGAGTATTGCTGGGGACTGGTCACACACTCTGGCTGGTCACACACTCTGGCTGGTCACACACTCTGGCTGCCACAAATGCAGCACTGGGACCCTGGTCATTCTGTTGCAGAAAGTGTATTGCAATAGGTTCTCTTGCTTTAAAACAGGGGTGTCAAACTGCCGGCCCACAGGCCAGTTGCATCATGTGGAGGCCGCACTCCGGCAATGCGAAAAAAAATCACGATACCGTCACGACACATCACGTGACGAGTTCGACACCTGTGCTTTAAAAGCTTTTGCTGTCTATGTATGAGCTCATGGGGTAAAATGACATCTTACAAGGATTCCCCAAGACTTCAGACACTAGTTGGCTGATGTCAATCTATTAGAATGACAATGCCATAAACATTGAAGGCAGTACCACTCCTCCATTTGTAGCAGCTCCCAATGAATGCCTTCCATGTTATCAGTAAAGAAAAAAAAATGGAACTAGCTTCTCCCTGAATCATCCTGGATCCAGTCACCATTACCAAAACAAAACACATAGGTTGAGAAGACACAACTCTCCTCACAATGCAAGAGTACAATTTGACATCCAGGCTTATTTAGCTATTTGACAAAATCCACTACACTAGAGAAAGAAGAGGCATTGTGCTTTTCTGAAAAAGAATCGTCACATTTATTGTACAGGAATGAATTCCCTCAAGTAGTCCTGGATCCAAATTAGCAAGAGAAACAACTGGGGCTCAATAAAGAAGAAAAGGAGGTCAACCTCAAAACCTTTGCAGCCTCCTGTCCTCTCCCCAGGTTTCTTGCCACATATGGGTCAAACTTGGGCAGCAATTCTATGGGGATAGGCACTTGAACCCTCAATAGGGCTGTCTAGATGCACTGCCTCTCCACCACCCATGTAATTGGCCCTACTGTCACCACCACCCCATTCTTTTCTGGTCCTGGAACCACAGATGGCAACTTGTGGTGCCTGGTCAGCAGTAGGTACCTGGGGCCACCTAGAACCTGACAAGGAACTTTGCCTTTATGGGCTGGAGCAACTGCATCGTGACGTACAGTAGTGACAACAGCAGCAGCTCTATTACTAGGAGGAAGTAGGAAGGATGCAAATGTGGAGCTCAGAACTAGGACAAACAATGGAATTAGTAACTATTGTGTACAAAGGCAAATACTGACTTCATGGAAGCTCTTCCATGAGTTCCTTACTCTTCCTGAGCAAACAAATCGAAGCCTCTTGGTTGCCAAGTATTATTCTATTCTCCCCAGTAGCCAAAGCAGAAATAGCCGTGATAGAACAGAGCCATGTGAACTGATGGGAAGGTGGGGTTTTTAAAGTGGGTCAGTGAGAGTCCTGAAATTCACCTCATGTTATACAGTTCTGGTCTGCTGATTCAAAGGATGCTACGTGGTTTATTCTCAGTAACCATGAGAAATTGACCTGGATTGTACAGATTAGCAAGCAAACTATGGCTTTGAGGATCCATATAGCTATCTTAGGTAAAGAAAAGTCTCAAGGTCAGTGAACCCGACACTCCCATTGTTACCACAATCTGATTCACAAAGGTTCAGAAAGCAGATTCAAGCAGCATAATAGAAGTCCAAGTGGCTGCCTAGGAGACCTAATGTATCGATCTCTTATGACCAGGCATGCAGGTTTGATGCCTACACATCGCAAGATGAATATGAAGCCATACATTGCATTTTATAAATGGGAAGCAGAAACCTATCTCTTCGGTTGGGGTTGTTGATTAACACCTGAGGCTTTTGTATGTTTAAGGAATCCTAACAAAGGTATGGCTGAGAAATGAAGCCCCTTTCTGGAATAGGGGTTTCTGTGCTAGCAGGTACCCATGATTCACATTAAGAGCATCTGTCACCCTCATTAATAGGTTTTCATCTGAACTTATATTTCCAAGAATATCTGCATATAAGAATTCCATTTCACTAGGGCACATTTCCTTGTTGCCCACAATTCTCCCTTTCTCTGGAGACATCTATCCAAACCATACTTTAATACATGTAAGTCCAGAAACAAACATTCAATGCCTTTTTCCTATGTCATGTAAAAGCTAAACCACCATCTGTCTATCCTTAAGCCTCATCTAAACAGTAAAGAATGTGCGACATCTTCAGAGCAAAAAAAATGCCCTAATATGGCAGAGAATTAAATACCCTGAGAATTAGGTGGCCTGTATAAAAGCTGTGCTGATATTAGAAGGAAACAGTAAAGAAACAGAGAGAGATTCAACTCATTTTCCTGTACCATTCTGCAAAGATGTTGCGTTATAAACATCATCAAGATCTTGAATACTGGAAGCATCTGTCGAATCTTGATCGCTGGCTACAATTCCTACTGAAGAAAGGCTAGAAATAAAGGAGTGCATCCTTTTTGCATAAATATCCCTAATGTTAAAATACGGGAGATCGTTTGTCTTTTCCTTGGGAGTGTCATTGCACTGGTCGGTGTCGATGTCCTTCTGCTTTTGATAGTATTTTGAAAACTTGTTGAAAATGATAGTGATAGGAAGAGCTACCACTAATATTCCACAGATAATGCAACTTGTGCCGATAATCTTTCCTCCGAGGGTAACTGGGAAGGTGTCCCCATAGCCAACGGTGGTCATGCTGATTGTGGCCCACCACCAGCAAATAGGGATATTATTCAGCTCTGAGATGTCACTGTCTTTTTCCACTGAGTAGACCAGAACGGAAAAAATAGAAATCCCAACAGCCAAAAACAAAAGCAAAAGTCCAACTTCATGGTAGCTGTGCCTTAAGGTCGCACCCAAGGACCGCAATCCAACAGAATGCCTCGCTAGTTTCAATATGCGGAATATCCTCATTAGGCGTAGAATTTGAACCACTTTCCCCATGTTTTCAATATCTTCACTTTCTTCGTCTTTGGTGTCAACGGCCAGAGTGGCATAAAATGGAAGAATAGATACAAAGTCAATGATATTCAGTGGGTTCTTCCAGAACTTCTTCTGGCTTGGGGCAGCAGCCAACCTGATCATAAGCTCAGAGGTGAACCAGACGATGCATATGAGCTCCACAACTTCCAGAACCGGGTTTTCAACCTCTTTGTCCTTGACACCCACCTTCTGGTACTCTGGCATGCTGTGAATGCACATGGTCACAATAGATGCTAGGACCACACTTAGGGAAGACACAGCAATCAGTTTGGCTGATAAGCAGTACGCAGGGTTCTCCATTCTGATCCAGATATTCTTGCGCAACTCTCCAAACCACTGTTTATCGAATTTCTCAAGCTCCTTCTCAAATATGGAAGACGTCTCATCATCGGAAGAATCTAGGCTTCCCACTGGGCTTTTTTGATCCCATTCTTTATCGGGACATTCTTCTTTTCTTTCTTGGTAGCGACTACTGCAACAAGCATCAAGGAAGAGTTCATTGATCCCCCAGTACTCTATTTCCTGGCAAAAGGAGAAGACGCAGAGTTCTTCCATAACGTGGAGTTTACCTGTGTAATAAAAATTCAACACGTATCTGAACAAAGAAGGGTTCCTATCAAAGTAATATTCCTTGTCTGCCACACTGTAATCATCACAGAGTTCCAGAATAGCCTCTTCTGAGTGGCACCTGAGTAGCTTCCCAAGCCTCGTATGAGGAAACTTGAGCAATGTACTTTGACCAATGGACTGTTTAAAACCACCAACATTCAAATTGACAAGCTCCTCATCTTGTCCTGGTCTGTGGAAGAATTCACCATACACCATTTTGACCTCTGTGAGCTCTGCTTGCAAGGCACATAATATTACACTGCACCTAAAAAGGCAACACAAAACACAGGTAGGTGATCCAGTCTAGCCTGGTGTTCATTGCAACTAAGTCTATTTAAAAAGAAGGGGGGGAAATATGAACAGTGCTAGATGTTTTCAATGAAGTGCTGTTAAATTACTTAAAAGACAGTTAATTAGATCAGAAGCAGCAGGTTTGTATACAATAAAGACTTGCCTTACACTCTCTCAGCTCTTCCATCAACTCAACTACCTAAAATACAAAATAGTGGTTTTACTGCTCTCACAGTTGCATCGTTTTAATTAATATTATTCTTTCAGGTAATTTTTTTTAAAGTCTTTTCCAGGCAAACTTATTTTTCCTTTTCTCGCTAGGAAAAAAAAATATTTCAGTCCAGAATGCATTTTGATTCCTGATCTGTTTCGGTTCTAAATTCTGACAAAGAGCCACTTCAGTTGAAAAAGCAGATCTGAAATTTGGAAGACTCCCAGTTATTGCTGGATTGACAGGTGGATGCCGTGGCCAGGGTATCTGAAGCAGGAAACCTTGACAACTCACACTCACCACAACTAGAATGGATTACTGCAACACGTTCTATGTGGGGTTATTTGGAAATCCATCTAGAAACTGCTATTGTGTCCAGTGCAGATATCCACGTGGTGGATGAGAACCATATAATGCTTGTGTTGGGGTCACTGTATTAGTTTCAAGTAGGATTTCAGGGACAATCCAAAAGGCTGAAGTTAACCTTTAACAGCTAGATGGCTTGGCGCTCAGGTATCTTCAGGACTGCCTCCTACACATGGAACTGGTTTGTTCCACGTGAACATGCTTAGGATTTGGGTTTCAAAGAAGAGAATATATAAAAAGCATTTGCCTTTTTAACCCTGAGGATGTCAAGTGCACTTGATGAAAGCTTGGTAGATTAAACTCTGTATGTTTTATAGATTTCTCTTGGTGGTCGCTTTGTTTTATAATATATATATATATGTATGTATGTATGTATGTATGTATGTATGTATGTATGTATGTATGTATATACATACATACATACATACATACATACATACATATATATATATCAGGGTTGAACTGTGGAGTCCTTGGTGCTCTCTGAGCTTGGTTGTTTGCTTGCAGACGTTTCATTACCCAATTAGGTAACACTCGTGTGTATGTTGTGTAAATAATAGGTACGATTTTATAATCTGCAAAGGCTTGTTTTTAGCATCCACGTGTCTTTGCTATTCGCTTTTGATATTAATCTGGTATGTAATAATATCTCGTCTAATATCTATATAACAATACACATTCTTCAGGCGAGTACTTAATATTGACATTTTAATTCAGCTATTTAATTCATTAAATAACTGATTCTCTTTTTTTCCCCTCTCTTTGTTTTCTGACCATCCTGATTTTGCTACTTACCAGGAAAGATAAAAAGTCTCTTCTTAAGGCATTTGCCAGTTCTAGGAGCATTTCCTACTGAAGGAGATTGCATCTACAAGCATTCACGTGCTGCAACCAAACCAGAACTGAAACGACTTTCAAGCTGCCAACTTCTGCACCATTCAAAAACATTCAAAGATACCTGAGGACAAAAACAAAACAAACAAACAAACACGTAATGATTATTTTATTACCGGCATAGCTTTTGAGACAAGTGGTGATGAAAACAATGTTGGTAAGAAAAAAGAGAGATAAGAAATGTGGTTACAAAAGATTTATGTTTAGAGGTTTCACGACCTCTGAATTGATCCATGGTTTCCACTGGGGCCATGAACTGCTGAGCTGCTCCCAAAACGCAATGCCACATGAGGGCAAGCTGAAATTACTTAAGATTATCAATCTTGAGACCCAGCACCAAATCAGGCAGGAATGTCACAGCACAGCAGGGAGGATAGGACAGCAATAACAAACCCAAATAATCCCTAAATCCAAGTTCAATCACAGGTTCTCACATCTCTGTATCCGCAATGCAGATCCTCTGGAAGCTGGGATTTGATGGTTGAGGTTTTGGGGTCAAAATGGAGCAAGTCAGAAATGTATCAGTGTTTGCCTCTATGGTACTTCCGGGTTTCCTCATGCAATCTGTGGTTCTACTAGCTGACTCAGACTTCCATATGCTCTTTCTCTGCCTAGCATAATTCTCACCTACGGACTAGAAAACCCTTTAAGTTGTATCTTTAAAATTATTTTATTCATTTACAGGTCAGTTTTGTATACTGCTATATTTTTTTAAAAAATATGATCTCTCTGGACATTTTTTTAACAAACAGCTAGGATTATAAAGATTTTATGACTAGGCACAAAGCACCAAGTCACTGAAAGTTAACTATTGTGGTGTTTGTGTGTGTATACACAAACACACGTACACATCCTCCATATATATACATTCATTCATACATATGCTATTGGCTTTTACAGGAGTCACATTTCCTACAGCCACATCTAGATCTAACTCAGTGGTTCTCAACCTTTTTAATGCCGTGACCCCCAACCGGTCGTAAGTCGAGGACTAAACCGGTCATAAGTCGAGGACTAAACCGGTCGTAAGTCGAGGACTACCCAACCAGTCATAAGTCGAGGACTTTCCCTGCCCGGGAGCGCCGTGCATGTGTGGTTCCGCCCCCTGCGCCGGCCGAGGTGTAGCTGGCAAGCGGCAGAGACGGAGCAGGCTGATCACCAGCTGGCCCAGCCCAAGGGAGGTAAGGCACCCGCCGGAAAAGGGGAAAAAAATGGCGGACAGCCTTGCTTGGCGACCCCCGTGAAATGGTCAATCGACCCCAAATGGGGTCGCGACCCATAGGTTGAGAACCGCTGATCTAACTTATTATACCTTCAAAATATCAGGATAATCACTGCAATTAAGTGTTGTTTAGGAAATTTACATTCTACCCAATCTCTCATTGGCTTTGGAAGACTTACTATCCCTAAAAATGTCCACGACAATAACATTAAAAGCTTAAAAGATACAAAAACCTAGAGTAAAAGAGGAACATTAAAAGTTCTGGGTAAATATGTTTAAAGTTCCTTTCTAAACTTTAACAACGATGGGAGTTCAATTTCAATAGCAGCTTGTTCTTAATTTTATTACTCTACAATTCTAATTTATTATGACATAAATGACACACATATAAAATACCAATAGCAGTTGATGCTACAACCCAGGTCCCTCCACAAAAATACAAATGTTGATAGTCATCATAAATTCTGAGTGTTGGCAGGGGCCATTGAGGTTATTAAATCCCATTTTCTACTCAATGCAGTCATTCAGATAAAAGTACTTGTGATATATGACTATTTAAGGTCTGCTTGGTCATGTCCAGCCAACACTATTTCTCTGAGTAACTGATTTTCCCTTCGAAATGGTGTTACTGTTAGAAAAATGGTCTTGCCATTCAATGAAATTTGTCTTCTTTTGACTTAAAGGAATATCGTAGATGTTTGCCATCTTCGAGTTCCTTACAAAAATAAAAAGGCTGGGGGGGGGCGGAATTAATAATTATTATTTTGTATCTGTATGTTGGAGTGATAAGAGAACATTGACTTGTCAAAAACAGTGTCATCTGAAATAGTAAAGGTGACATAAATGACCCTACAAAAAAAGGTGCCAGGCTTTGAACTACCATATAAACCAGTGGTTCTCAACCTTTTTAATGCCGCAACCCCCAACCGGTCGTAAGTCGAGGACTAAACCGGTCGTAAGTCGAGGACTTTCCCTGCCCGGGAGCGACGCGCATGCATGGTTCCGCCCCCTGCGCCGGTTGAGGTGTAGCTGGCAAGCGGCAGAGACGGAGCAGGCTGACCACCAGCTGGCCCAGCTCAAGGGAGGTAAGGCATCTGCCGGAAAAGGGGAAAAAAATGGCGGACAGCCTTGCTTGGCGACCCCCGTGAAATGGTCGATCGACCCCAAATGGGGTCGCGACCCATAGGTTGAGAACCGCTGAGTCATAAACAATGGACAATCCTGAACAGAATTTGCACCTCACATGGCGTCTGCCAGGACTCTGTATAAATGGGGCATATTATCCTCCCCTCATGTGACTGCAGGGTCCCACATCAAACTGTAGATCACATTGTGACTGATTGTAAGCTGAGGGCATATACTGGTCCAGTATCTGATATTTTTCAAATATAAATGATGCTTCACTTCAGTGGTTAGATAGCCTAGAGATCTTGGTATTTAAACTTAGATTTTTTTAACATTTATATTTCACTGTGTTCTACTCCTCTAGATGAAATGTTAATATATATTACTAGTCCATGTATGATATGCCATATGCTAAATAAATAACCCTACAGAAATGTCTTATGCTATTCCCAAAATGATCCAAAGTGTCCTATTTTGATATTAAAAATAAAATCCTGAAAAGTAGACATGGGTGTCTGGCTTAATGATTACTTACTCAATGACCAAGACTCAAGTTCCAACTGTGGTCATATGCCAAGGACTACCTATACTATAAAGAGATTAGTGAGCACCTAAAGGAGGATGCCCCCCCCTCAAAAAAAACTAACATCACATTGTATGACTTTGGTATACAAAAAAAAAAGTACTTCTTTTTTTTAAAACAAAGGTTAATTAAGGTTAATAGACTGCTAAGCAGTAAAAGAAAAATGTAGTAGAATAGCTTGTTTAAGACAGTTCACTGTATTTATATATGGATCATTAGCTTCATTTTGTTCAACCTCCAACAGTACAAGGTTGATTCCACAAAATATGAAATGTGAAAATTTGCAAGGCATGCATCGGTCAGTTTAAAAAGGGAGCATTAGAATAATATACAATAAACAAATACTCACTATGATTCCTTGTATGAAGCTCATTCACCCAAAACATATGTATTGATTTAACTACAGCCTGGCTTTATTTGGACCAAGATAATCAACACAGCTTTAGGCACTCTGATCTAAATTCTGACAGTCCCAAAGGTGCTTTTTTCAGGAGGCAACTGGACTTTCTTGTTTTTCTTTGAAG